ATACATGGAAGAGAGAGATTCAAGCACGAAGAAATGAACCAAGGATTGGTAGAAGGTAGTAGACAATCAGAGAGGATATGGAAAGGGCATAGATTGTGGGAAGGTCTGCATATTTTAAGAGGCGATTTCAGGTTAGCCTGGTTAGTTGAGTTGTGTTGGAGAATTTTGTTCAACCAGCGTGACTGAGTCCAGTCAAGCATGCGCCTAGAAAGCTTAACATCACATACTTTCCAGCCATGCAAATGACATCTTGGACTCTACACAGGCCACTTGTCGGGCTGAAGAATTTTGAGTCCAGGAAGTCCAAGTTCGGCCTTTGGTAGTTCACATACCTCCTACCTATGGCCAGTGCAAATTCTCTCTATGGGCTCAAATGGTCCACTGTCTATCACTCATTTGTGTTGCAGACTGGATGCATTGTGAGAGCCTTGCCATATCCTGATACACGCTCTCATCTGTCATACTTACTCTCATATATTCTCATATCTCACACTCATTGGTGCATGCAGAAACTCCTTTTCATGACATTCCTCTCTTGACAAGCCGGCAACAGGCAAGCCACACGAGCTTGTGGCTCCCCTCGGCTACACTTCATGGATAGGATCGCTGGCACTAAAAAACTGGCAGGACCAACCTTCGGCTCATGACAAGCTGGCCACTGGATGGCCATCATACCATGATGGTCACCCACTGCTCATCACGAATTGGTTACAGGCCATTGCTCATGCGTTGCTCAGGCTCATCTCTGCATATGCCCGACTCTACATGATCACACTCATGTGTGCATGCTCCCACCACTCATACTCACAGATAGGTTAGCCTGTCCAAGGCACTAATGGAATCAGGAATGGACCCAGTTAAGCCATCGTCATACAGATTCCTGGTGCGCAGTGGAATGGAATGGGTGGAGAGCATTATAAATCATATGAGGAAATGGGATCAATAATGATTGGTGACTCCATCAAGGTGGTTTGTGTACTATTTGGGAAGAGGTTCGTGCAGCCCACCACATGTTTTCCACCTGTGCCTACATGCATGGAGATGATGGAAACCTGAGAGGTGCATTAGGGTAGCGCTTTTCTGGACTGAACGCCTTTCAATATGATCCACACAACGGAAACGGAGGGAAACGGAGAAGGGAGGGGGTTAATTAATGTAGGTTAGACAGAAGTAACACCTTGTACGGCTTGCAAATGTCTGACTTCCATTTCTGCGTTTTCATATGGACGGTTTGGTTCTGCGGTGACATTTGAAAGGAGAGCATTTGCTTTTGATAAATGGCACTGGCATTGTAAGTCTCGTCTCTACTTCTCCCTTGACAGACTCCAACATAACTGCTTTCCCGCATAAACCTGCTGCAGTTACAACTATTGTTGCCATGCCCCTCGCCATGTCAACTATTTCCCTGACCTGAGCATGATAGAATTACTAGACATGTCCCTATCCTTCTCTCTCATTCCCTCTATAGATCCCAAAGTCTCAAACTATATAAAACATAACAATATTAGAACATTAGATGCGAGGTTATTCCAGACTTTTAAGGGAGTATGTTTCTGAATCTTGTAAATTAAGCACGTGGAGGGACATGGTCGGGGCGATTCATTCCAAGGGTTTAACAGATCAGATAGTGGGTTTGGATGAGAGGAGGACCGGGATGAATGGTTCAAGAAGCAAGGGACTGCAAGTGAACAAAATCAAAACAACAAAAGGCGTCCAGGGAATGCATGGCCAGCAAGAGTTAACACGCCAAAGTGCAAATACAGAGCATGCAGAATGGTGGAGAGAGGAAACAGAGGACAGCAAAAGTTGGGGCGCACATGGGGGATGCAAGACCAGCTAGAGTTTGGTGCTCTCACATGCTGGTCACCATGCCTTGGGCATCGCAGAACACACCGTATGCCAAGCTGCAGTCCCCCCCAGTCACCCACCCTGAGATTCTCCGGACCCACGCTTGCTGCAAGTCCACCAGGACTTGGACTGGTGGCAGATGGTGGGGGAAAGGGGGGCAGGAGGGCAAGAGAATGATAGAAGGTTGTGTCGCACCCTTCTCATCTCTCCCTTCACACTCATAAGCCGTGCCACACGATTGCAGAATGAACACATGTGATGGTGAAGTACCCAGAAACCGTGATTCGGAAATTGAAAATGCTAAGCGATAAGCATCATGCGCACAGGAGCATGGGCATGACGTGATCACTGATTCATAGAAGGTGTGAACACGAGAGGAGGTCAAATAGGAGGCAAGTGTCGTTGGGGAATGAGTGGTCCTGAGCTCCATTAGGCACAGCGAGTAAATAAACTACGACTACTCGTGGTTGTTAATGACCCACGACGCCTTGCCATTGCTGCATCCACCCATGGCAGCAAGCCACCCACACATTATATCTCCCCTCTGTGCTTGCCTGTAAGTCCAGCCAGCAGGAGTTGCACTGGCAGCAGGGATGAGAGGGGCCAAACTGGAGCAAGATAGAGAAAACATGGGAGAGATACGCCCTGCTTCTGAGGGGGTGGGAGGGAAGAAGAGATGAATTGGCCAGCTCATCAACGTCGTATGGCCTTCGCTCCCTCTCTCAAACCCTGCACCAGATATCTTTAGAGAAGACAGGTGTGATGGGTAGGCTGCACGAGGAGATTGTGTTCCACAGAAACGATTTGCACACTGCTGCAACTCCAAACTTGAAACTTGGCAGGTCAAACTGCTAAGCATCACGCGGTTGATCATGGACAGATGTGTGAAGCGCCATGACTTGGCTATAACGATCCGCCGCCATGGCACGATTGGTCACTGCTGAAACTAGTAGCATGTGCATGACGTTTTGGTACCTGGAGCGGCATGGGATTGACCAAACGACGTACTTCAAGTACCTAAGTTAGGTAGCGGAAGACACAGCAGAATCGAAAACTGTTACTATCGCAGTGACGAGGCGCTGGGCCGCCGAGGCAGAACGCGTCCCGCGTCATCGTGGTGCCATCGTCGTGTGAGATTTCCATGGAACCCTTTCTGTAATGCACTAGGACTCCATAATACATGACATTTGTAAGGGTAACAAAATACGGAAATGATTGGAGGGGAGGGCCCCCCTCTAAAAAGGCCTGTCCCACATCTGTCCCTCGAAACGTTTTCGGGATGGATGTGAGACAAAACCGAAGGTGACCCACAACTAAAAAAGTCTATACAGTAATCTCAGCCAGAATCTAGGATCGAGCTCGGGTCTCCCGATCACACGTCAACCCGATGGAATTTTCGGACAGATATAATACAGACTAAATTTTGAAAAAAGTTTAGTTTCAACCCAAACAGTTCGATCGCACGAACTCACCCCGAAGATACTTTGGGGACAGTTTAGGGTTCCAAGACAGGGCAATCTAGGGTCAGCTCAGGGACAGCGCCTTTTTGGTGATGGGGGTCGAGGCAGGGGCCGCACCGCGGCCGACTGAACGCTTAGCATCATTCTACAAGGACAAACCTTGGGATGCGGCGAACGGGACACCGTGGACTGGAGAAACATAGGCGAGATACGTCAGCAAGAGTACGCTGAGCCGAATGATGCGTCCCTTGCTGTCCGTTGCCATCGTGGTGCGGCGAGAAGCTGTGCGCAAATAGTAGCAGTTTTAAGCGTCCAGAGTAACGCAAGAATATCTGTAGACAGATCAGGTAAAAAAATGATGTTACCTGGAATGCAGACGACTATGAAGATAGCAAGTTAGGAATGAGACTAACAGTGGCAGGGAGGAGAGTGGGAGTTGAAACTAAAGTCCCATTTTTTTTGCCAAGATCTGCTACGCAATTTTCTTTGTGGCTGCGAGAGGCCAACATCGCTGGCGAGGTCGAATTCGCGAATTGCGACTTCCCATTCAGCTGTAAAATGTGGATCTCGACAGATGCGAACGTAATGTCAAGTTACCCTGCTTTGCGGATTCCAAGGTGACACGAGTTTCGTGCAATGGTGGCGTGGCATGCCAGCAGGGCGTGTCGAGCTCCCAAAAATCTCGCCAGGTCTGCCAGCCAGACGAATCAGGACAGCAGCTGACCCTGTTTGACGAACAACGACCTCCTCATTCGCTCTCGCAATAACGGGAACGAAACGAAACCCTAACAACCACTAGAGCAAAAGATACATAGTGCTTTCAGCATACGGATTGTGGCAGACCAGGGACTTAGCGATCGATCGAGCTGGGACGTACCTTTTTGCAATCTAGTATTAAGGTCGACTAATAAGGTCGAGTAATAAGGTTGACTAATGAAGGTCGAGTAATAAGGTCGACTAATAAGGTCGAGTAATAAGGTCGACTAATAAGGTCGAGTAATAAGGTCGAGTTGACTCGTTTCATCGTACGAGATGGCAAGTCTACTCGTTATGGTATGTCAGAACGGGTAAAAACATCGGATTAAAGAAGGGAGACATCACTCTCGCACCTCTTCCCCCGCCCCACGCCTTACCCTCTTACTATCGCACATCCCCCCTGTGTGACGCCGCCGCCAACATTGCGAGAAGCGCGAATGCACGATTGACAGGAGGCATTCGAGAGAGAAACGGCAGATATTATTTTCTCCCGCTCTCCTCCCGCAGCCCCCTGCCCATTCCTTGCACCCAAGGAAACGCCATTCCTTACTGAGTCCTTCTTTTTGTAACCGCGCTGTGATGTAATCTCAAAGCACAGTCTCAAGAGGAACGCCTATCTTGCTTTGTCGTTTGGATTCCGTATGAGCTGAGGACGTAATTCGCCAATACTGCTGTTCGTCATCCTTAATGCGGCTTCCTATTGGCGGCAGTGACTAAAGCCGAGGAAGTCGTAGCGCCGCGTGGATTGTGAGAGGCGAGTGGCGGCGGCGAGGCGAGCATCACAGGCGTCGGAGCTGGCACGAGCAGCGAATTGAATGGCGAGCGGCATCATCATTTGACGGTGCTGGTGGGAGAGTTGTCTTCTCCCCACACTCTTTCTTCTGGCCCTTCCAAGTTCCACTCCTTTCCGTGCACCTTCCTCACCACCCTTCCCTTTTAAGGCGCCTCAAAAGTCACCTTCCTCATCACCTTCCCTCCATTCCGTGCCTCTCTCCTGCCTGCCAGTCCTTCCTTGGTTGGTACCTTCATTCGTTCCATCCCTTCAGGACCTCTCTTTTGGCGCGGTGTGGCAAGTGGCAGTGGAGTGCTGAGGTATGCAGACATGTGGAGTGGTGTGGAGTGCATGTGTTGTTTCTGTGAGGTTGGGGGGGGGGGGGGAGGGGTGAGCATGGGACGACGGGGGAGAGGGACAGGGGAGAGGGACGGGGGAGAGGGACAGGGGAGAGGGACGGGGGAGAGGGACAGGGGAGAGGGACAGGGGAGAGGGACAGGGGCGAGGGACGGGGGAGAGGGACAGGGGAGAGGGACGGGGGAGAGGGACAGGGGAGAGGGACAGGGGAGAGGGACGGGGGAGAGGGACAGGGGAGAGGGACGGGGGAGAGGGACAGGGGAGAGGGACGGGGGAGAGGGACAGGGGAGAGGGACAGGGGAGAGGGACGGGGGAGAGGGACAGGGGAGAGGGACAGGGGAGAGGGACAGGGGAGAGGGAGGTGAGGGGGAAAGGAGGGGGGAGAGGAAGGGGGACGAGGAGGTGGGGAATGGATGGGGGAGAGGAGGGGGGACGAGGAAGGGGGGGGGGGGAGGGGGGGGGGAGAAAGGGGGAAAAGAGGGGGTGAGAGGAGGGGGTGAGGGGATTGAGAGGGACGAGTCCCGAGAGGGGTTAGGGAGGTCGAGACAGATAGGATCAGAGGGGGGGAGTGGGAAGTGGAGTAGAGGCGGGAGCTGGGAGAAGGCGGAGGGGTTCTGGTTTTCCGCTTGGTGGAAGTAGACGGGGGTTAAATGAGAAGTAGGAGGGTGTGGGGAGTTAGCTGGCTGGCCAATCTGGCCGTTCATGAGGGTGCATGGGGGAGCTATGCAGGTGATCGAGCCCGTGCTGGGGGATGGTGGATACAGATGAGAGCAGGGCGACCAGGCGGAGACCGGTGATGCTGCACTCAGGAGGATGTGCAGCTTGGCCTGCATGGGGTGAGTGGGGGGAAGTGGGGGGGTTTGGGAGGGGGTGCAAGAGAGGCTATCGGAGAGAAAGAGGGAAGTCGGAGCTTTCCAGTAGCTTTCTGAAATGGCAGACGAAGGAAGACGTGCTATCTAGGCCGATACGATTGATATCGCCCTTTGGTTGTTCGGCGACAACGAGGGTGAGTCTAGTTGAGCGAGTGTAATCGAATCGGAACGAGTCTCCTTGTCGGCCGATGTTGATGCGATCAGTATCGGGTGTTTTGCACTGATTGACCATGTGACCGCTTGCACCCTGTGTGTGTGCAATTGAGTATGTGACGGCTTGCCTCTCCAACCTTTGTCCTGTTACACTTCCCCTCCGTGCCGACGTGCAGGTGTTCATCAATGTGCCATGTTCTGCTGCGCCATGGCAGGTTTGTGGGGGAGAGGAACCACAAAGGATGAACGAGGGATGGGAGAGCTTGGAAGGGTCGCAAGGGCACCTCAAGGGAGCAGCATCAGCAGCAGCGACACCCGGTCCCCACAGTCGCCCTCCCGACTATCACCACGCCCATCCCACATAAGAATACCTCTCAGCAGCGACTTCGGCTGGTTGCAGAGCTGGAGTGCAGCAGGGAGAGGCGCAATCGGTGCGACCGGAGCTGATGAGAGCCCGACGAAGGTGCATGCTGCAGCAGGTGGGGCAGCAACGGGGGCAGGCAGGGCAGGTACGAATCAAGGAGGCGTGTGCTCCTAATCCTCCTGCTGCTGCTTCTGCAGAGGCTGCTGCATGACTTTCACCCACCTTCCCCACCTGAGAATGTCACGGCTACTGCTCCTGCTGCAGCAGTGGTGGCACCGTGGCATGAGTGGCATGAGAAAACAAGTGACTGTATGGATGGACACAGGGCTGGTAGGGAACAGAAGTAGCAAGCAACAGCAGCAGTGTGAGCGGCAGTTGAGCTGAAAGACCCCTCTGCAGGTCTCCCTGGCACCATCGCTCCTTGCTCCCACGCCACCTCCATTGCTGCTCCTCTCCCCCTTCTTCCCGCCACCTCCTCTGCCTTTGCCTTCCGCAGTCCTGGCCCGCCGAGCCGTCGTCGACCCGCTTTTGGCCCGCCCTTTTAGGGGCGGGCCAGCCCAGCCCGGGTCAGGCCCTAGACTTGTTTGCCTCTTCAAAACAAGCCCAAAGAACAATGTATCCATAACGGAATTGCACCCGGGCCGGGCCGCCATACTCAGCCCGCCCGGGCCCTTTTCGGCCTGGGTACCCCCTGGGCGAACCCGAGCCGAAGTCTAGCTCATTCCGCTCGGGGCAGGCCAGGCTCGGCCCGGGCCGGGCCGGGCTGGGCCTGGCCCGCTATTTTGGGCAGCCGGGCACGGCCCGACCTGGGCTGGGCCTGGGCCGGTCCGGCATCCTTCTTCTCTGCACTCCCTTCCACCCGCATGTAGCCCCCTGGACAGTTCTCAAGCAGCTCCTGCCCTCCTCTGGCACTGATAGTGTGTTGGTGGACGACCTCCCAGAGCCACTGAGGCAGGAAGAGTAGCCGCAAGCAACCTCCCTCATGTGTTTTCCCGTCCCCTTCCCCACCCGGAACTGCCCCTTCACTTAACAGCTCATGTGTGTGGGCACCAACAGCATGGTCATATGCACTTGGCACAGCTTTCAGAGACGCCGAGGCAGGAAGAGCAGATGAGGCGAGCCAAGGAGGCAGCGGCAGCAGCAGCAGCAGCAAGAGACGCATCCCGCATTCCCATGCATGGTGAACGGGGTGGGTGGATGGGTGGATGGGTGGGTACTATGTGCGCGGATGAGCATGGTGAAGAGGGTGGGTGGGTGGATGGTTATGTGCTATCTGCGCATGGGTATGTGCATGGAATGTGCGTGCATGGTGTGTGCATGGTGTGTGGATGCATGGTGCGTGCATGGTGCGTGCATGGTGTGTAATTTGTGTTCTTGGATTGCGCTGCAAGGTTTTGCATGGCAATTAGGGCTGGGCAGATGGCACCAGTGCATGGCTGAGTGGGATGTACCTTCCTTTCATTTTATACCCCAGCCAACAACCCCGTTTTTCTCATTCCTCCGTTCCCGTTCCCTCCCCATTCTCTCTCCTTTCCCTCTACTCCCTAATTCCTTGGCCTCCCCTTCCCCAACAATTCCACTCCCCTTCCCCTCCCGTTCCACTCCCCATTCCCCTCTCCTTTCCCTCCCCTTCCCCTCGCCCTCACCTCGCTTTTTTCTCCACTTCCCCTCCACTTCCCCTCCCTTCCCTTCCCTTTCTCCCCCATTTCCGCTCCCCTCTTCCCCCCTTTCCCATCCCCATACCCTCCCCCTCCCCTCCTCGTTCCCGCCTCTTTCCCTGCCCATCCGCTCTCATCACATGCACCTGAATCAGCTCCGACCGGACCAAAATGGAGAGCCAGTGTCCGTGTGCCTCGTCACGAGTGTCAAGGAGGTCACGCTGCTGCTCTCCATTGCTGCACCAAAGGGGGTTGACGGGTGGTGGGATTGAGGGGGTGGTGTTGAGCCGCAGCGTTGGCGAGCCCACCTCACCCACTTTACCATATTCCTCATCTTCCTCCCTCCCCCGCCTCACTACCTTCCCCCCTCCACTCCCCCCCCCCCCCCCCCCCCCCCCCCCCCCCCCCCCCCCCCCCCCCCCCCCAATTCTCCCTCTCCTTCTACCTCCCTTCTCCCACAAGGTATAGGAAAGGCAAGAGGCTAAGCAATACAAAAATGTACACCATCAGCAATAGATTCCAATATCTAACTAAAACACTAGTACCGTATTATTCCGGCTATAAGACCCACCGGTAAAAGGGTCCCCCGGGACTCTCTATAGGGTACTGGGACTATTTGGTATCAGAATGGGAGGACCCCCCTTTTGCCCCTAAACATTACAATACCCCCCTTTTATAAACTGTAGTCGTAAATGTTATTGCGCGTCAGCTTTTATAGGCTTTTTTTCGAATTCTCACATGCTGTATGTGTCAGATCTCGATTCTGACATGTTTTTGTGTGTCAGACGCGAATTTTGACACGAATTCGTGTCTCAGCCTGGGAGTGTCTCAGCCTGCGAGTGACCTAGACGCTGTACTTCTGACTGAACAGACTAGTGAGTGTCTTAGTTTGTGACCGACCTAGCTTCTGAGTGAACTAGGTGTGAATGGCGCAGCATGTTTGTGACCTAGCTTGTGACTTGCCTAGTTAGTGAATGACTAATTCTGTTGTTGGGTTACTTCTGAAAGGCCTAGCCACTAACCACCAACGAGCGAGATGGTTTTTGCTATCTCATTGTCTGAAGCCAGTTCAGAGTCTCTAGGTCAGCCATAGAACAAATACATCCACTGGCTCTCGGCAAACTGCCAGGCTCGCCCCAGCCTTGCGACTCGCGTGCGAGCCACCTCATCTCAACCTCCCCCAAGTGTAGTCGTCAACTAGCTCGGGGGATTTTGCATGTCTCGCACTCCTTGCCGACCTCCCCCAATGGAGGAGGTATGAGAATTGTAGATCTTGAATGCATTGGATCTGACTTGGAAAGTGTGTCGTAGAAACCCAGCGCGACCTGAGTCGCTCTGGTCCAAGCTGACCAGCTCTCTGAAAACGAGGTGGGTCCAAGCCCCGTTGCAAGTCGATTTCAGGGATCGTCTGTCTCGGCTCAACGAGCTGCTCATTCATTCCTACTATGGCATTCACTCACTACCCTAGGTGTGTGCTCGCTCCGGCTTCTCTCGCCTTCCTGACTGTGGTAAGGCGAAGAGTTGGCAGGCCACACTATATTTCTCTACCAGTTTCCTGCCCAACAGTTGCCTTTCCAATAACCGTCACTCTTACTACCGTTCTACCTATGACATTGTTGCTGCCCTAATCGTTCAGCTCACACCTGCGCCACACCACTAGCGTACCAACCCTCTGTGTGCCAGCCGACTGTGCTCCACATACATTAACCTGCAGTCTTCCCTGCTCTCTGCTGGTCTCCACCCTTCGCTCTGTGCATTCGTTTCCCCATTGTTGCAACTATTTCCCATGTCCCAGCTTGGCAGTACCCACCCACATTTCTTGCCCCTCCCTGATATCTTGTCTCCTCTGCTCCTCCCCCTGGCCTCCCCTTATTCCACTGAAGTCTAATCTCGTGTCAACTGCATGTGTGTGCACAAGCTTCGTCTCTCACTGAGTGGTCCATCGTTTTGTGCCTCGTCCCACACGAGTGTTTTCCCATTGTGTGTGCATTCACAACCAACTTCCTCTTTGCACCCGACCTTACCCCTCACCCCACCCAGGTGTTGTCTACTTTCGACAGTCTGCAGTGAAGGAGGTGGTTGATTGCCAGGATCGGTGATTGAAGCAGGGCTGTTGAAGGAGAGTCCACTGGATGCTATGGCTGCCGAGAGGGCGATGGGGCCACTGATTGAAGTGGTCAAAGAGGCGGCACTGGCAGCAGTGAGGGAGGAGCTGACTGGGCACAACGAGGAGTTGGATGAGTTGCGGCATATGTTGAAAGCAGTGAAGGGGGGGTTGGCAGCGGTTAAGGGGGAGTTGAAAGCGGTGAAGGGGCAGTTGGCGGAACTCATGGACTCAAGAGCAGAGCAACCGGCTGAGTTCAGCAGGGCATCGGATGAAATAGAGCTAAGAGGGAATAGTAGAAAGAGAAGGAAAGAAGAGACAGCGGAGGAGAGGAGGAGGGAGGTGCAGGAGGTGAATTGGCCACATGCCACGGAGGAATCGGCAGCCTGTAATGAAGGGCAGAGGATACAAGATTTGAAGTTGAATGTTGAGCTGGAAACTAGGCAGAGTGAAGGTGATCGGAAGAAAGCATTGGAGGTGAGTGCTGAGTGCGTTGTTGCACAGGCATGCCTTGTTCCACTTGGCATTCACTGCTTGCTAGTTCTGTCTTATCGCCATATATTCACCCCTTGTTCTGTCAAATTTTCCCTCTCAACCCATTTCTTCCAGGCAATAAAGACAGCATCAAAATATTTCAGTATAGACCTGAGGCATTGCCACCGCCTCTCAGACGACATCCTCGGGCATGTGTCCACAATGGCACATCTGAGGGGAGTTTTATTGCAGCATAGCTCAGGTTTCAGTGCAGAGGGCATCAAGCACCTCTACAGGCTGCCACAGGTGGAGATGCTAGACCTCTTTTGCGCAAAATATATAACAGACAATGCCTTGGAAGGCATTTGGTGCTTGACCAGTCTCAAGTACCTGTATCTCAATAATGCCAAGCTGACCAATGCTGGCCTGGCACACTTGACAGCTCTGTCCTCTCTGAATGCGCTGGTCCTTATCAAGTGCACAAGTGTGACAGATGCCGGCATGGTGCATGTGGGGAAGCTGACAGGGCTTGAGGATCTTTCTCTAGATGGCACAGCAGTCACGGATGCTGGGCTGCGGCACCTGTCTGCCCTGACCAACCTGACAAATCTCTCGCTGCCAGGAGGGGATTTTTATTTGGATGGTGACGTACGCTGGCGGATAAGCAGAAAGTGGTAGTGAGTGATGATGGAAAGCGAGGTGAGGTGAGGGAAGAGTTGGCGGTGACTGCCTAGAGGGGGACTGACGAGAGGCATGGAGTCAAGGCATGTGAAGAATGTGGAGGGATGAGGCAGAGTGGTGATGCTGTACTTGCATATTGTTTAAACTTGGAAAGTAACCTTCTGGCCATGTACCTTGCAGTCAGACAGTTGAATGTGTAGGGCAAGATACCAGGTGGAGGGAAAGCTGCATGGTATGCCTGCTTGTTTTACAGTGCAGCAGGCTGTGCAATGTCTTTGTACGGTACTCGTAGCAACAGCACGATATGCAATGCATTCCTTCCTGCCAAAGCATGAGCCAATTTTAAGATACGCATGTGTAACCACGAGTCATTGATGCTGCTCCAATATGATCCATGAATATCATCTCAAGACAATAGAATAGACACACTCGTTCTTTTGACAAATCTGCACAATCACGATACATGGATCCAAGGTGGTGAGAACGAGTGGCAGCTGGTCACGTGGGGGGGTCTGTCTGTTGGCTGGGTGTGTGACATGGCACAAATGGCAGAGGTGAAGCAGGAAAATGTGCGCCTGTGTCTGCATGGGAAGGGGAACCTGTGATGCATGCTTCTGCGCACTTGAGCCTCAATTTGATCACCATACTCCCTTCTCGAAGTCACGCTTTTCCCTCAATGCTTGTGCCACCACTGCCTTCAGCAGCCTGTTGTGAATTACAGCAAGCGGCAGCAGAGTGAAAGAAGCAACAAAAACTTCCATCCCCTCCAACTGGAAGGGATTTGAGTGGGATCCAGTCAATTGAGACTTCCATTACATCTCACCATTTGCTTGTACTGTGCTGCACCATGTCACCGCAGAGATAAACACAATTTCTGCACCAGCTAAGATGAAAGTAACGTATGGGAAGAGGTATGGAAGTTAGGTGTGCGTTGAGGTATGGGATGTGGAGCACAGCACAGCTGTCCCTGTACTACCTTTTCCCATGAGAACACACTGTTGGGCCTATTCATCATCAACTGAATTTAAACTCACGGATATGGCTGGTCATGTGGCTCACACACCAGCATGCGCGGTTTCGAGCATGCGCGGACCCCAGACCAGCCATAAATTGTATCGCCGGTGCTACAAACATTACATCCACTGAGTTGCTTGGCTATCATTGTAATGGGGTGAGAAGGGCGAGGCATTATGCACGTGCAACAAGGAATAGCTGAGGGGAGTTAGGGGGCGAGAATGGGGAGGGACGGTGTGCCAGGAGGGCGAGAATGGGGAGGGACGGTGTGCCAGGAGGGCGAGAAAAAGAGTGCTTGAAAGGAAATCGGAGTATAAAAGGATAGATCCGACTTGGATCCAACGGTCCTAACTCGCCCTATTCTCCTCTAAGTCGAGTTAAGGCTAGTGGGGAATGAATAGGTAAGAAGTTTGTCATTCAAAGCTTGGAAGGAAATTGGAGTGTGTGCGGCACCTCGCCACTGCCACTGTCAACCAACCTCCAAGAAGGAAGGAGGGGCGTGTGGGAGGAGAGGGGAGGTGGAGGGGGTAGGGTGACAGATATTGAGGAGACATTTGAAGGAGCGGTACTAGAGGACAAGGGGCATGTGGAAGAGACACACAGGCAGTCGTGGTGTTGGTGATGTGGGAAGGAGAGAGAGGTGCTGCATGCAGGTGCTACAGTGCTGCTGCTTGGCTGGGTCGTGATGGCGGGAAAGATGGGGGTCCCGGACGGGGAGGGACACAAAGAAGGGGCATGACCCAAAGGCATGAAGCGCAGGGCATAATGCGATCGTATGATCAAACTGCTGACAGCTGGCTAGAAGGAAGGAGGAGAGGATAGGGAGGATGAGATATAAGGTATGGGATGAGGCATGGGATGAGGCATGGGATGAGGTATGGAATGAAAAATGGGATGAGGCATGGGATGAGGCATGGGATGAGGTATGGAATTAAAAATGGGATGAGGCATGGGATGAGATATGAAATGACGGTAAGGGCAAGGAATGAGATGAGGTATGCAATGAGGCATGATTTGGGGTATGGGATGCGGGATCGGATGCGGTATAGAATGGATATGGGGTGAGGTGTGGGATGATGTATGGGATGAGGAATGGGATGGGGTGCACTTGCAAAGCGGTTCCAACTCTGCTGCTTGGCTGGGATGGTGGGTAGAGGAGCAAGAGTATGCATGAGGCAATTGGGAAGCAATGGCGAGTAGAATAGGAGGATACAAACAGGAAAGGGACACAAACCTGGTTCGTGCATGGGGTGATCTAATGAGGGGCACGACATAGTAGGGTGAAGGGCATAACACAACGGATGAACTGGGTGGCAGGGGATGCTGGGAATAGTTGTTGACCGTAAGAATCACAGAAGGGAGGGCATAGAGAGACAAGGAAGGTTACAGGGAGAGAGCGGGAAAATGAGAATGTGAACGGAAAAGAATAAAAGGATCATGAAGGGGAAGAAGAGATATCAAGATGGCTATCTTCTTCCCCTTGATGCTCCCATACCAAGATGATGCTGCTCAGCTGGGTCGGCGTGGAAGCAAATAGGAGGGTGACGGTGGGCAGATGAGGAGGACCTGAGATGGGGAGGAGCGTGGGAGGGGTATGTTGTGATGAACAAAACAAAAGGAAAAGGGTCACGGGGCAAGCACCTAAGCCTCTGTCACGAACCACCCTTGCCATGAACAAATGAAAGAGCCAAACCACTTCTCCCACAAACCCACTGAAAAGAATTGCTTTGCAAATCCCCAGGAACCACCTGTTCGAGCAACCTGCCTCTGCCAGGTACCCGCCCTACCCACCTCCGCCATGACCAGTTCCACCAGGTTCTCTCAACAAGTGAGGCAGCCGGTCATTGGAGTACGAACAGCCCACAGGTACATTCACTTGCTGACACGACTTCCACTCACTCACACAGTCCCACCACCCCATCAACCACCGGCACGTTGATCTGTCAGGACATATTCATTCCTCGCTGCAAATCCATCAGTGTGAGGTCCTGAGCGGCGTCGATACCACCAGTCCTGGTGAGGGTGAGCAATGAACAGGAGCGACAGAAGAGTGGAAAATGAAGCGCCGCGAGCAAATGAAGCGAATGCAGCAGTGGGAGGGAGTCAGCGGGCATAGTGCTAGGCAGGTGAGCGGGCAGGCAGTAGGGATGTGCAGCTGGGGTTGTGCACCCACCACACTCCAGTGCCTTGGTGCTCCCAGCACTGCTGGTGGCGTCCATGGCCATCATCACCACCACCACATCCATTGCCCCACCGTTTTCATCCGCCCGTGCTGCTGGTGGAAGTGACCGCATGGGAGCATGGGCATCGCCAGCAGAGCTGAGAGCATGGGCAGGCAGTGTGGCCTTAGAAGCCGAGCCGCCCCTCCCCTGCTGCCCCTCCCCTGTTGTACCCCCCTGCTGCCATGCCATGCAGTACGGCCACCACCACTCATGCATCCACCCACTCCCACGGTCATGCCCTCCCTACCTTCCATTGTGCTAGCCTCACTCCATCCCACCCATCCATCCCATCTCCTCCTCTACTCGCTGCACCAATCCCATCCCATCCCAACCAATCCATTCCATCCCATCTCCTTCCCTTCCCTCCCATGCCGACCCAACCCATCCCATCTTATGTCCTCCCTTCCCCTCCCCTCCCGTCTCATCCCCTCCCATCCCAACCCATTCCCTCCCATCCCAACCCATCCGAACCCATCCCATCCCATCTGCCACACACCTGACAGCCTGACCGCTGGCTCAAGGTGAGCTGCACGTCACCATGCCGGGCGTCATGTCCACCACGAGCACGTCCATCCCCCCCACTCCGTCCCCCTTACAAGCTTCTCCACTGCCGCCATCACATCACCATGGGCCAACGCCATACGGTCGCCACGTGTGCAGGCATGAGGAAGCCCACACTCCCAGCCCACGTGAGCGGACATGCAGAGCATGCCGTGCGCCTGCATGCGTGGGGGAAGGGCGAGGCGAGCAGGGGGCAGCCGGCAGTCTCCAGGCCCAGCGGGCAAGAAGGGGGAGGAGGCGACAATGTGCAGGCCAAGCAGGTTGGGCAGTGAGGGGCGAACACGTCAGCGTCCAGCAGCCCCACTTGCGAGTGCCGTGCCACTGCCAGGTTCAATGTGGGGGAAAGAGGGAGAGGTGGGGGAGGGGGTGGGGACGATGGGATTGGGGGGAGGAGGGGAGGAGGGAATGTGGGATGGTTAAATGAGGGGGATGCGGGGATGGGGGGATAAGGGAAGATGGGCATGCGATTAGAGGCATGCCTTGAGAGGTGCGGGGTGAGGGGCACGGTGGAAGAGGCATACAGGGGGAGGCACGCGGTCAGGTGCATGGGGCGAGAGGGATTTTAGGAAAGAAAGGGGGTGATAGAATGGGGTGAAAGGTATGTGTGGAAGAAGGCAGGGGTGAGTACAGCGTGTATGGGAGCCTGTCGACATGCAGTGAAGGAAAGGGGGATGGGGAGGCTGACGGGAAGGGGGGGTGGGCAGGGGGATGGGTTAGAGAGGAAGGGAAGGTGGGTGGGGAGGGGGAACAGGAGGGGGGTGGGGAGGGTGATAGGCAGGTGACGAAGGCGGATGGGAAGGGCAGTGGAGAGGAGGGGGAGGAGAGGGTGGGATATGATGAGCGGAGAGGAAGCGGCGAGGGGCATGGCGGTGAGGCGGTGAGGCGGTGATTCAGTGAGGTGCAGCAGCAGTGGTGGACTTGCCGACGCCACCTTTCGTGAACGCCACAGCCACAATGTGCTTCACCCCTGGCAGCAATAAACTGTCGTCACCATCGCCTCTGCTGCCACTGCAGCTTCTATCGTTGCTGCTGGTGGTAAAACCGATGCTGCTGCCATGTGGAGTCCACATACTCCCACCAGTGCTGCCGAGCTTGCTGCTGCAAGTCATACCTCTGGAGGTAGCTATGCTGCCTATACGCACAGCACTGTTGCTGTCTAGCGTGCTGCTGCGGGTAGCACTGCGACTAAAGGCAGGGGAAGGAAACTGGTCCAGCTTGGGACCGGCATGTAGCGCGGGAAGGTGACGACCAGCCAAGCGTGTAACACCACCCAGCCATGCAGCACCCAGCCATGCAGCACCCAGCCATGCAGCACCCAGCCATGCAGCACCCAGCCATGCAGCACCCAGCCATGCAGCACCCAGCCATGCAGCACCCAGCCATGCAGCACCCAGCCATACGTCACCTCAACAGGACACTGATTGTGCTCTGAGCAGGACGCACCTGATCGGGCAGAATGGTCAACGGCAAAGACGACGAAATGGCCGCCCGGAAGGGTACATGGCAAATGGATATTGCCTCGCAACACGTACAGAATGAGGATAAGGAGCAAAATCTGGTGAGGAGCAGGGAGGGAACAAGCATGGGGAAAGGAGCAGGGAGGAAACAAGGAGCAGGGATTGAGCTATCCTTTCAGCAGCGTCGATGAATTATGAGAGTTGTCAAAAGCGGCGATGACGATGACGGTGCCGTTGCTCGTCATATTGACTCGCCATCGCCAGCTGCTCGTGCAGCTTCGACGCCCGCGATGCTCGGGAGGCCGCCTCTCGCAACCTACAATTTCGGCACTCGCAAAGCAGTTGGCGACGCACGGGACACTCGCTCGACTCGCCGTCGCCAAATAGGAAACATTAGGGATGACCGCCAACAGTGTTAGTGCTACTACCGCTGACTGGGCGAAAGTTTATGTTTCTATTAAGACTATCCAACAAGCAAGTGGAAGAATCATGGCCAGGAAAGTAAGAAATTGGCAGGAAGCTGCGGGAGGGAGGCCGGCAGAATAGAGCACCGTTTCTTTCTCTGATGCCTCCTGCTGTCAATTGCGCATTCGTGCCTTTTGCGGCGGCGCCGTCGCGCGGGAGGGATTGTGGAAGGGCGAAGAAGGATGGGGAGTGGGGAGGAGGTGCGAAAGTGATGTCCCCTTCGTAATACGAATGTTCTACCACGTTCTGACATCCTGTAGCTAGTACGGATTAGCATCACATGCAAGTGCCATCTTGCCGATTTTCTAGTCAACTTGAAATTCGCACGATGGAACTCTATCAACTCTACCATATCGTTTTTGAGCACTTCACGATTTAAGGTCGCGATAAGGCAGGTCGCGGGCTCAGCAGTACGTCACGGGCTGAGCAGTAAGTAGTTCGCTATGTCGCCAGGTCGCCAAATCGCTGGTCGCTAGTGCCAATAAATCCTCTTCAATAGCTACTTGCTCTTTGTATACTGGAAGATTTGCTGTAGGGTCATTGGGGTTTCGATTGGTTCCGTTACTGTGAGAGAGAATGAAGAGGTTGGTGTTCGTCAAACAGGGTCAGCTGCTGTCCTAATTCGTCTAAGTCGCAGACCTGGCGGGATTTTTTGGTAGCTGGACACGCCCTGCTGGCATGCCACGCCACCATAGAAACCTGTCAACCTAGAAATCGCGAGAGAATGGTAACTTGACAGTCCATTCGCATCCGTCGGGATCCACACCACAATCCACGGCTGATAGGGAGGTCGCAACTCGCCAAGGGCGCTTCACCTCTCAGTTCGAACAGGACGGTTGTTCGAACAGGCGAAATGTTACATTTTTCGCCACTCCTCGTATGGGTGTTCGTGACGTCGCTAGTCGGAAATTTCGCGAATTTGAACAGAGTTGTCACACGGGGCACGAAGCTCTCCATTCCGCACGTTCGAACAGAGTTGTTCGAACAAAGTTGGGTTTGGTGACAGGAATTCCGCATGGACGACTGATTTTATTGGTTAGCAGGCTTCGGGTCGCACTCGAATGTTTGCGACCATTGCAAATGTCGCCATGCAGGAGAAAGTTCATCAAAAAGGACATTGTTGTTGGGAAACAACAAGGTGAGCAGTAGTAGAAGAGCACGAAGAGACTGTTTGACTGGATGGGCGAAAAATGAGTCAAACTTGAATGGCAGACGACAGAATTATTTTTTTGCGACGTTTCGCGAAGTCGTCCAGCACTTGGCGACGTCGCATGTTCGAACAGGCTGTCACCTCTAGTCACGAGCTGTCACATCACCAAGGTGTTCAAATTTGTGTTCGGATCTCGTCGGGAAACTGTTCGTTCAGTGAATTCGTTGCGTATGTTCGGATTTGGGCCTTCCAGCCCCGAGGTGATGCGCCCTAATTCCACGTCACCAACCCTGGTTGGGATGTTGGAGCCACGCAAGAGATCTGCAAAGAAATTTTGGCTAGGAACTGGGCGATCATCATCGCCCTCAACTCCCACCCTCACCTCCCTGCTGCTGTCTTCTCCACTTCATTTCCTAGCTTAGTAGCTTCCTCTCGGGATTCCTCGTCTGCTGGTAACTCTATTTTTTTGGTTTAACCGTCTACAGATATTAGGCTGTAGAATTAGGCTCGGCTCTGTGACGCACACAAGTTCACAAACGATTAAAAACAACCATTTCCTGGAGTCGCTGCACCTCGATGGCAACTTCGGACGGCGCGGGGCGCCTCATTCGGCTCAGCTTACTCATCTTCCTGACGTGTCTCGCCGTGGTTTCTCCAGTCCGCTGTGTCCCGTTCGTCGACTCCCAAGGTTCGTCCGACGAACCTTTTGTTTCACCCCCGTACTATGTACTTGTTCTGCTAGATAAAGAGCTGTAGAGCAAATTTGTAACAAGATGGGATTCGCCATGCCTGCGTGCATGGGAATACCCGAACGGTTGGAACCTCCCTTTGCCTAGGTAGCTCCCTTTCCCTTATCCTCGTCAGTGATTAGATGTTACTAAAATCGGCAAGCAGGACATGGCATCGAGGCGTTATGCCAAGATGCCATGCTAGATTGAGTGGCGATACGGTTTTCCCCCAAGTCGCCATCCCTTCTTCCTAGCATTAATATCCACCTCAAAATCTTGTATTATAATCTCATCCTATTCTATCCTTGGAGTCTTTAATCCTATCTTTTTGCAAGTCTTCTTCTCTCTTCTCTCATCTACGTCTCCAGAGCTGGGCTTCTCCCTCCAGCCTAGCTCCCTTTTCTTCTGCTGCAAGACTCTCCTCTTATTCTTTCTTAGCTAAGGCGCCTCTCCTTAGGCGCTGGGCCGGCCAGGCCAGCCGCGCCGTGCATCGCTGTTTCAAAATTGAATGTAGCAGAACCTAATAGTACATAGTATGGGGGCCAACATTTTTGGGATCAGTGGCCCGCCCTCGACCCCCACCACCTAATCTTCCTGTATGTTGCGCTGATAAATCTCATGTCTTCTGGATCCTTGGTGATGGTAGTATGATGCATTCCAGCAAGGGTTCTATAGAGGCTCACGCACCACGATGCCACCACCATGACGCGGACGCATTCGGCTTGGTTGCCAGCGCGCGTCATACTGATCTACAGAGTTTCCGCTGTGTTTCCTTTGGTTGAGCTCATGCCGCACGAGCAAAATGCCATGCACGATCATTGTGGGTTCAGGTTCAGCAGTGGCACCAACCTTGCCACGGCGGCGGATCATCAAAGTCAAGTGACGCCATCAGCGATAGCGATGAGCATGAAAGTGGGCCAGGGCCCGCCCGAAAATGCCCCGGGCCGGGCATCATAAAGGCGGGCCGGGCGGGCCGCATCGGAGCGCAAAAATACAACAGAAACAGCCCAAAAATACATCCTGTGGGCGATTATGACAGCACCCGGGCCGGGCACGGCCCGCCCGCCTTGAGGGCGGGCTTGGGCCAAGAGTTTCCTTCTATGGCCCGGGTCGGGCCGGGCCAGCCCGGCCCGCTTTTTTGCGCAGCCCGGGGTGGGCCCGACCCGGGCCGGGCCCGGCCCGCCCGGTGCTCCACGATAGCCTATCGCATCGCATGTATCCATCAGAATTGTGTTTCTATTAGAATAGTTTTCCAACGCCTGGTGTTTAGAAGCTTGTGCGACCAATTTCAAGTTTGACATTGCAACTCTCTGCTCTACTGATGTCTGGTGCAGGGGTTGAAAGAGGGAGGGAAAGCCATACGAAGCGTTGATGAGCTGATACATTCATCTCTTCTTTTTCCTGCTCCATTGCAGCCTCTCTCCTACCTGCTAGCGCAATCAGTGCAACTCCTGCTGGCTGGAACTCCAGCAAGCATAGGGGGCGGATTTGATGTATGGGTGGCTTGCTGCCATGGATGGATGCAGCAATACCAGGGCGTTGTGGCTCATTTACGACCACGAGTACTAGTATTCGTAGTAAAATAACTTGGTGGAGTGCTTAAAAGAGCTCAGGAATGCTCATGCCCAACGATATATACCTCCTATTTGACCTCGTTACTGTTTACACCTCTCATCTTATGTCCTTATCAACGGATAAGTCACTGGCCACGGCATGCGCATGCTCCCATGCGCACAATGCTTATCGTTGTGGCACTTTTAGTCTGCGAGTCACGGTAGTTACTTCACCATCGCATGCGTCCATTCTGCACGTGTGGAACAGGCTGATGAGTACGGGAGGAAGAGAAGGGTGCAACACGCAGGTGATGAGAGCCAATTTATCCCTCCTCTGTTCCCTGCCCCAGCTTCTATCCTTCTCTTCCCCTCCTGCACCCCTCTCCCCCACCATTTGCTGCCAGTGCGAGTCCTGCAGGACTTGCAGCAAGCGTGGGGGCAGAATTTCTCTGGGTGGGTGGCTGGGGGGGACTGCAGCCGGGCCTCTTATGTGACCTGCGATGCCCAAGGCATGGTGACCAAAATGTAAGAGCACCAACTCTAGCTGGTCTTGCATCCCCCATGTGCGCCCCAACTTTTGCTGGACTTGACTTGAGTGCCTGCATCTTCTCTCCCTCCACCATTCTGCATTAGAGTTGAGCATGTGGCCCGCCCGACCCGTCCCGACCCGACCCAATTTGGCCGGGCCTCACGGGCCCTCGGGTTGGGTCGGGTCGGGCCGACCTTGGGCCAGAATCTTGAAACAGTTGGCCCGACCCGGGCCAACTGACTCGGGTCAAAGGGGACCCGGGGTCGGGTAGGGCCAGGTTGGGCCAGGCAGACCCGCCCCCTTAGGGGAGGCTGGGGGTATTCATCACAATGTGCGACAAAACGTGTGCTTGCGGATTCCCCGTCACCGTGCAAGCGGCCGACGCGAACCTATGTAAAATCGTGCAGCGGTTGCCAGTAAATGCGTCCACTACAGCAGAAACGCCACGGATGTAATGGGGTCAAAGGAAAGTAGAGGTTGCGCTTGAATCTAGGTACCCTAAAAACTACGAAATTGACCTGCGCGAAATGCACTAAGTGCAGCCAGAATCGTATATCTACGAATGTAACTGAAAGTATGTGCATTTGGGCGGGAAAGCCTAAGATAGGAGATAGTTAAAAGGAAGGTACTTAATACCCGAAGGCCACTAGCTGCTGGGGTGGCGAATGTAAATCGACGGGGAAAAAATCCCCTCGATCGATTTACATTTGGGCTAGGGTCTCGGCCCTAGCCCTGTCCAAATCGGGTCGCGCACCTGGCCCGACCAGATTTCGACATTTTAGACCCGAAACCCGGCTCGGCCCGGCCAGAAATGGGCCCTCGGGTCGGGTCTGACCACGGGTCGGGTCGGGTCGGCCAGTACGGGGCAGAGATTCAGAAACCTTGACCCGACCCGGGCAAAACCACGGGTCGGGTCGGGTCGGCCCGACCCGAGCGGGGCACCTGCTCAACTCTATTCTGCGTGCTCTG